TTTAGGATTTAGGGTTTAGGGCTTAGAGCTTAGGGCTTTGGGTTTAGGGTTTAGGGTTTAGGGTTTAGGGGTTTAGGGGTTTAGGGTTTAGGGTTTACTTAAAGGATCATGGGACTTAGTAAGGAAGGCTATTGGTCATTGGTGTGGTAAATATAGTTTCCCTGGAAAATAACCTTACTTAATAAGTCCCATGACCCTCCAAGTAGTGGTCTGAGGTATCATGTCCTAAACCCTAAACCTCAAGAACCCAAAGCCCTAGGCTCGGACCTTCTTGCCATGCCAGCCTTGCGCGAGTGCGCGAGTCGAAACCCTAACCCCGAAACGCTAAACCCTTAAACCCTTAAACCCTTAAGCCCCAAACCCTTAAACCCTTAAACCCTAAACTCTTAAACCCCTAAACCCTAAACCCTAAACCCCCAAACCCTTAAACCCAAACCCTCCAACCCTAACCCCTAAACCCTAAACCCTAACCCCTAACACCCATAAACCCCTAAAGCCGTAACCCCTAAACCCCTAAACCCTTAAACCCTAAGGCCTAAACCCTAAACCCTAAATCCCTAAGCCCAAGTCCCCAGGTCCCCGGGGCCGAGTCCTTTCCCGACTTCGCAAAGGGCCTCGGGCGGGAGCGGCTGGAGGCGTTTTGCAGAGCCGCCGACGGGTTGGGGATGGCGCCAAGAGCACAGAGACTAGGTCATATATATATATATATGTATTTATTTATTTATTTATTTATATTTTATTTTATTTTTTTAGTTATTCTTTTATTTATTTATGTACAATATATATATATATATGTGTGTGTGTGTGTGTGTGTAGGTATGCGCATCACCACATAGAATAATTTGAGGTAGATTTTTATAACCATGGACACCCCAAGCTCGAACCCTTTGGCTTGTTTGGGGAGGGGTGGTTGGGAGTAGGGGTTTAGGGTTTAGGGTTTAGGGGTTTAGAGTTTAGAGTTTAGAGTTTAGGGTTTAGGGGTTTAGGGTTTAGAGTTTCCGGCTCAAGGTGCGTTACAGGGATCTTGCCAGGGAGGTGATTTGTTTTTTTTTGTCATGTGCCCCATCCTTATGGTTTTGGGGACGGAGTTCCATGTTGCAATCGTGGTATATATGTGGACTTTCCAGGGTTGAGGGTTTCGCAGCCCGAAGCCGCTTGGCATGCATCACCTTTTCAGACAATCCCCCTTAACCTAATGCAGGGGCCTAAATAATCACCAATATTGCTTTGCCTTAATAATAAGTACAATATACCCTAAAACCCAACTCTAATTATTAAGGCCCCTACATGAAGCCCTAAACCGTCCTTGCAACTCCTGAAAAGGCTTCACCGAGCTGACAGCCTTTCACCCCCAGGAATTCCCACGACCGCCCATTCATAGGGTTCCTGACTAGTAGTACCGCATAGAAAAGTACAAGATACCCCAAAACTCCGCTAAGGCCCCTATTTTAGTTTAGTGAGCTTACCCATAGGCCCCATAGTACCGTAGTTCCTTTTAGTGCCTTATCTTCAGGATCCTATGAGGTAATCCCAAGAAGGAACTACTATGGGGCTTATGTTTAGGATCCTATTAGGTAATCCCAAAAAGGAACTACCATGGGGCCTATGGGTAGTGTGTAGAGGCCGGATGGAGTTCACCCCGAAAGGCGAGCCAGCGCGAAGCTGTCAGCCACGGTGTCTTCGGTGTGCCAACGCGTCCCGGCCCTGACAAGCACCGTTTAGGGGTTTAGGTCTTAGGGTTCAGGGTTTAGGGTTAGGGCTGCAAGCTGGTGCTGCCACAGACTGCTGGGACAATCGCTGTATGAGCCCTAATGTTCGCATGCGACTTTGGTCACTTGTGGGTTGCAGAACTGCTGCGGAAAGCTGGTGCTGCCACAGACTGCTGGGACGATGACGGTATGACAGCCCTAATGCTCGCATTCAGGAGTGGTCACATGGAGGTT